GCCTGAACATAGAAGAAAGGAAAACACTCAGATTTCAGAATTGAAGGAGGAGTTAGAGCAGTGAGTTAGACTCGTCTGCTAACTTCATCTCAGGGTTGCTTTCCAATGGCTGATTTTTTCCCCCTCATTTCCCTCACAGGCTTTTTCCTGGCTTTTGGCATACCAGATATTTTATTAGACACCAGACAGTTTGAAGTTCGCTTTGTTGGGTACTGGATATTTTTATGTTTCTGGACACTCGACTCCACCTCCTCAGTTCAGGGGTCCTACTGGGCTCTGCCTGTGTTCTTTTCTCCGTGCCATACCTGGAAATTGTCTCAGAGCACTAAGCTGGGACTGGGGGGTGGGGGGTGGGTGGGGTGGATGGGGGAGGGACACGACGACACACCTCTTTGCCCTCAGGGATTCCGTCTTGGACCAGGTTCTTAGATGTCCTATGATTCTGTCTCAGAATTGTGACAGCTCTAGGTCTTTGGGCAGATGGCCTTAGGCAAACATCAGCCAGTTACTTATTCTTTCCTCGTTTCTGATGGTGGGGGGGGCAGGCGGGGGGGGGGGGCAGCTTTCCATTCTTTTTCTAGCAATTTAGACACATTAGATACCCATTTAGTACACTTGTATTAAAACGGAGGGGAGAACGTATTATATGAGAACCTCTCTCTCTCTCTCTCTCTCTCTCTCTCTCTCTCTCTCTCTCTCTGCTTGTGTATGCATTTAAAATCCCCTGGAAGGGCATCAGAGTGAGAGTGATAGTACAATGGTGTGTGTGTATGTGTGGGGAAGAGGGCTTGCCTTGCACATGGCTGACCCAGATTTAATCCCTGGCATCCCATATGATCCCCTGAGCTCTGCCTGGAGTAATTCCTGAGTTCAGAACCAGGAGTAATCCTTGAACATTATGGGTGTGGCCCCTCCAAGAAAAATTCCTGGAAGCATAAGCACAAAACTGTTAATTTTGGAAATTTGGAGAAGGCTGGTAATAGGAATGAGGCAGTGAAGGGATGGGGAGATTTTATATGAACCTCTTAATAGTGATTTAAATCATCATGCAGATACATTACCAGTTCAATTTATTTAATTTTTTATTTTTATAAGGTTGTTCACAATAATTTTTTACAGTCAATATTCTAACACCAATTCCACTATCATTACACCTTACTACCACCACTATTTTGAGTTTTACCACCACCTCCCAAGCCTGCCCCCTAGGCAGATCCTAAATAATTTATTTTGTGTTGCTTTTTAAGAATAATCTGCTAAATATGATTTTAAAAGTTTTCCTTAGAGGAGAGTGTAAGATTGTTGTATCTCACCTTGGAGCTATTTAGTCCTTGTATAAGAGATTACTAGCATACTGTTACAGCTCGAGTCTGAGTCTTATGTGCTAATATATGACTGTATCACTGTCATCCCATGCTCGAGTGGGCGCCAGTAACATCTGCATTCGTCCTAGCCCTAAGATTTTGGCAACCTCTCCTTACTCGTTCTTCCCAACAGTGCCACACTGGAAGCTCTTTCAGGGTCAGGGGAATGAGACACATCATTGTTACTGTTTTTGGCATATCATATACGCCATGGGAGCTTGCCATTTGGGCAGGATACTCTCGGTAGCTTGTCGGATTCTCCGAGAAGGAGAACTATAAGAGGTCTTCCAGAAGCTTTGTTCTATAGTCTCTGGATCTTGGCCATTGATGGGATTTCATGGTGCTGGGAGCAGTTTGTGGGTGTGATGGCCTGGCTACTAGAAAATGGGGGATCTGGGTAGAGGAGGCCCAGTCCCGATCTGAGCAGGCTTGGAGATCTCAGCCCCGGGACCCACGCATCTGGGTTTCAAATAACTTTTCTTTCTGCTACTGCATTTTAAAACATTTTTTGTTTGTTTTTGAGTCGTTCCCACAGTGCTCAGGGTTTACTCCCTGCTCTGCGTTCAGTGACCATGGGACCTTATGGGGTGCTACACATTAATATATATAATATATAAGGTTTTCAAACTTTTATTTATTTTTTATTAAGATCAGTTGCCTTTTGCTTCATACCCCATCCAATGTGTTGTGCTACTACTCCTAGTAGTGGAGTGGCTTAGAGTGTGAGATGTTGTTCCAGGAATTCTAAAATTTTAAACAGGATGATAGAGCTGGAGTTAAATTTTTGACTGGTTGGTGACTTTCGGGTTCAGAAGCATCTCTGCAGCTTGCGGCTCTCTTTCGAGATTAATTTGTGAGCGTCTAGATCATGACTGTTAGCTTACATGGCACCAGAGACAGTTCGTGGGTGTGACCGCTTGGCTCCTGGAAGAACAGGGAGATGGGGGAAGGTGGGGGCCTCTTCATTTTGTTCACTTAAAGGTATATTCAAACATGATGGCTTCTCGGTATCTGTAATTGCAAACCATAATGCCCCAAAGGGGTTGGGGTGGGGGGAGAGGGGAAAAGAGATATGCCAGAGAGGTGGTGGGGGGTGATGGCAGGAGGGATACGGGGAATATGGTGGTAGGAAATGTTCACTGGTGGAAGGATGAGTGTTGGAACATTGTATGACTGAAACCCTTTCATGAAATCTTTGTAACCGTATCTCATGGTGATTCAATTAAAATAAATTAAAAAGTATAAATAAATAGACACAGCAAAGTAGCAACAGAGGTCCCAAGACAATATAGTAGGAGAACTGATCCATACAAATGAGTTGATGGGGGCAGAGGGGTTGAAAGGGATGGGTGTTAGGGTCCTTAAAAATAAATAAAAATAAAAAGATATTTTCCTGGGGCAGAAGGGGATGCTGAGTAATTTTGTCCAGAAAATGGGGTGGTAGCCACAGCAATTGGGGAAACCTCTATAGATCTGTATATTCCAGACTGGTCAGGGAACAGTTCTTTAAAATTTCCCAGTCTGTCTTAGACCGATACTTCTGTTAATTGCAATAAAAATAAATCACTGATCAAGTAATGGATCGAACATAAGTGTCATGACACTGTCATTATGCTGAGCACACTTCTAAATGCTTTCTGGCCACTCCTATTCATCATCAGTAAGTTTCAGAGCTTGTGGATCAGCTGTAATGGGCACCTGCTCAGAGATGGTACTCCATTATTTTCCCTGTAGGTTTAATTTTTTCTTCTGTTGCAAGTAAACCAATTCTCTTTCTATGAAGATGTTTGTATGCACTTATTTGAAACAGTAGGTGTTTGTTCTAGCCTGCTCCCGCCTTAATTAGGGGAGCATGTCTTCACCTAACTGCTGTGGATAATGGTACTAGTGTACCTCCAAAAGCCACTGGTGGATAGAGTGCTTTTCATCGAGCCTAAGATGATGGATTCTGCTGTTCTGATCTTCTGAAAGGGTTTGGTTGGTTGGGCTTTATGCTATTAAGTCAGGAAGATGCCATAGACTTCAAAGTTATTAAAGCGCAGGAGCACATAGGTCTTCAAAGATCCTTCAGATGATGCCATGATTGTTCTAGCCTCTAATTACTGGTGAGTGCTTGGAGACTTGCTTATGAAAAGGAAAGAGGAAGTCATTGGTGACTTCCTTTAGAATAAATGTTGCCAGTCTGCTGAATGACATCTTTCTGTTGTTTGGTTTGGGAGCCACACCCATAGGTGCTCAGGGCTTACTAGGAGGGAACTCAGGGACACGGTATGCAAGGCAGGCCCCCACCCTGGCTCCAACGTGAGAGCCTTCTGTCTATATGGCCCACTCTGGCTTCTCTATGTCTGGACTGCCCTCATTCCGTGCTGCAGCGTTCTTGGGCTGGATCAGCACAGAGAAGTTTTGCTTACAAGTTTTGCTTGTAAGTTGGTGGCACTACATCGTAGCTAGTGTCGTTGATAGCTACTTTTTCATCCTTGAAATTTTTATTAAAAATTTAATTTTTTTTAGTGAAGCAAGATCATTTTTATTATTTTCTCCCTTCTTATTGAACGACCGTGATTGTGTGTCCAGTCATACATGTTCCTAACACTCAACCCTTCACCCGTGTACATTTCCTACCACCAGTGTCCCCAGTTTCCCTCCTGCCATCCCCTGTCCCCCCTCCCCCCCAGTCATTGAGATTTTTGTTGTTCTTACCTTCAGTATTTCTCTGGTCCGCCATCATCATCCTGAGCTTGTTGATATTGGCAGTCCTGTCTGGTTTTTATTATTATTATTATTATTATTTTATTGAATCACCGTGAGATACAGTTACAAGCTTTCATGTTTGAGTTATAATCATATAATGATCAAACATCCATTCCTCCACCAGTGCACATTCCCCACCACCAATCTCCCCAGTATCTCCCCCCCCCTTCCCATCCTCCCCCTGCCTCCTTAGCAGGCAGTTTCTCCATGCTCTCTCTGTACTTTTGGGCATTATGGTTTGCGATACAGATATTGTGAGGCCATCACCTTTGGTCCTTTATCTACTTTTAGCACACATCTCCCATCCTGACCGATCCCTCCAACCATCATTTTCTTAGTGATCCCTTCTCTCTATCCAGGGCAGTCCTATCTGTAATTCTGACATATTATTTGCCAAATCAGCAACTTGGTACTTCTAGACTCTTACAGAAATTTCTTAACATTGCCTGGCTACCCTCCCGGACTGCCCTGTCCTTCTTTTCTCCGCTGTGTGTTTAGTGATTGCCTGGCATTGTGCAAGGTATAAGGCATAAAGCAATAATTAGTAGTCTTTAGTTCCAATCTTTAATGGACCATTCATCCTGCTTAGTGTTTGGTCTTCCTGTTTTATTTTCTTCCATTTCCTTTAAAAACCTCTCAGTCTTTAAAAGCAAGTGAGCATCAAAACTGATGGTTGCTGGGAACTGAAGTAATGCAGTGCTTTTGAGGGGTCAGTGGGGATTGTGCAGTCTCACACATGCTAGCTGTGTGTTGTACCTCTTTTATAACCTCCTGGACTTTCAATATAAACATTTAAAACACTTTATTGATAGTGTGATAATACCTTATATCGAGTTAGCACTGTTTGATTTTTGAGAAGTAACATATGTTTCCTTTGCCTTTCAGTCGGCTACACCTCAACAAGAAGGCAACAGACAAACAGCCATATAGCAAGCTCCCAGGAGTGTCTCTTCTGAAACCTCTGAAAGGAGTGGATCCTAATCTGATCAACAACTTGGAAACATTCTTTGAATTGGATTACCCCAAAGTAAGTAGTGTTGTATTCATTTGGAATGGGCTAGAACATACTTTTTTAAAAAAAATGTTAGTTTTTCTCTTTTCTCCTGGTAAACAGTTAGAAAGGAAGTTCTGACACAGTATAAGGTAAAGGTATTAAAAACTCCTGGTGATGTCCATCTCATTAGACTTACATGTTAGTAGTCAGAGGGCAGAAACAGGATTGAGAAAATGGACTGTCAGTTCCTTTTGTAACTGCAAGTGACCACCATCAGAATCAGCAGTACCTGATACTGGGAGACTAGTGAGTGCCCGGTCGTTTAAACGGGGAAATCGTGTTCCTTCCAAGCTGTGTGCAGGCAGCTGGGCCTGGAGGCAGGGAATGAGAAGTAATGCCCAGTGGTGTGAATGGACAGACAGAGGGACAGGTAGAAAGAAAATGAATTCCCTGGAAATCTGGACTAGATCTGTTGATGGGAAGATGGGCTTCATGCCTGATTTTTAATTGCATTCATTTCTCTTTATTTTAATATTTGTTTTGCCCTCTTTCACTTATTGCTAACAATCCGTAGGTTGTAATGTGCATTTCCCTTCATAATTGCAGGACTTTCACTTCTCTGAGATGGGAGAAATTTTTTTTCTCTCTTTCCTTAAGTTTCTTAGGAGACTTATATTCCTTGATATTTGGGGGTGGGGGGGTGCTGGGTATTTACTTCACTTTTTTACTTGCCTCTTTGTGGCACTGCATTTAGATTTTGCCACCCCGATGGCTCTGCCCTTATTAGGACAATGTAGACTAAGTAAAGAAAAGATAGATGATAAATGTAGACCTCTCTCTCCTAGTGACTGGTTTTCATGATCTTATTTCTTTTCCTTTAGCCCTTATTTTTCTCAGTAGCACCAGTAACGTCTCCATTGTGAGACTTGTTACTGTTTTTGGCATATCAAATACGCCACAGATATCTTGTCAGGCTCTGCCGAGTGGGTGGGGTACTCTTGGTAGCTTGCCAGGTCCTCCAAGAGGGACAGAGGAATCGAACCAGGATTGGCCGCCTGCAAGGCAAATGCCCTACCTGCTGCGCCATCGCTCCAGCCCTATAACTTTAGGAATTTTCAAGTCTAGGTATGTGAAACTAATTTAAAGCAGAAGTATATAATTCAGTTTGTGTATAATAATGCAGAGAGTGCATTTAGATAATTTTTTAAAATCCTCCACCCCTCTCGGAGAGCCCGGCAAGCTACCGAGAGTATCCCACCCGCAGAGTAAAGCCTGGCAAGCTACCCGTGACATATTCGATAATGCTAAAAACAGTAACAACAAGTCTCACTTCATGTTCCTGGAGCGAGAAGATGCCATTGGGCGACATTAGCACGTGACAGGGATGAACGGAGATGTTACTTGTGCCCCCTCGAGCAAATCGATGAACAATGGGACAGCAGTGCTACAGTGCTATTTGATTTTTTTTACCAAGCTAACAGTGAAAGTGTGGTCTTTCTTCCTTTTTTTTAAAAAAAAACATGTTGGGGCCACACCCAGCTGTGCTCAGTGCTGACTCCTGGCCCTGCACTCAGGGATCACTCCTGACAGGGCTCAGGGAACCATTTGGGATGCAGGGATTGAACCAAGGTCAGCTGCAAGCAAGGCAAGCGCCCCCGGACCCACTGAACTTTGGTTCTCGCACTGGAAGTGTGGTCTTTTCTAATTCTGAATGATGGACAGAACACTGATTTTAAATTTTTTTGCAATTAGAAAAATGAAATTATTTGAAAGCTCGTATGTTGCAAGTAAATGCAAAGAAGAATTTATACTTTTGAAAGAAAAAAACTATAGATTGTGAATGAATCTCATAGCTTAGAATCATATGCATCTTCCTTTTTGAGACTTGGTCTCACAGCTCTAACTTTTATAACCCTTTGCTCTTTCATGGCTCGACCACTCGTACAACTTAGTTCTGGTTTTTATGCAGTTCCTCTTCTCAACTGGTTGTTTTAGTGCCTATGAAAGTTAGTGTGAGTTTTAGTTGTAGAACATACTTATCTCAGGAACATATTTATACATTATGAAAATTGGGATGAATTGATTTTTTTTAAATTTCTCTGAATGTTTTAAAATTATAATTTGGGATTACCTCAAGCGTCTTGTTGTTTTACTTCTTTTGATTTTGTGCTCTGGGATCATTCCTTGCAGGGCTGTGGAGACCGTGTGTGGTTTCCAGGAATTGAACCCAGATCAGCTGTGTGTAAAGCTAGAGCTCTCCCAAGGCCTTACTTGTTGTATTATCTTTTTTGGCCCATTTTTATTTTTTAGTTTGCAGCTCATTCCTAATTCTAAAAGTATCATTAGTCATGCAATTTGGAATGCAGAGGAAAGGCAGTTCAAATCTGCAATCTAAAGAAGGTTTTGGTCACACCTTATTTTATTTGCTTTTCAAAGACTAAAAACACAGTGGTGAGTATTCTGCAAGAGAGTGGAGCAGAGCCAGTGAACTCAGATTGGCGTAAGGGTGAACAGATGAGGCTATTGTATCATTCCACACAGACAGTGGTCAGTCACCAAACAGACCTCGTGTGACTGTCAAGCCCCAGCACGCCTGATTACTTAACTTTTTCCTTACTGTCAAGTATAAACATTCTTTTAAAAAAGAATGGAAATATTTCCATCCTGCAATTTTGAGAGTGGGAGGTGGCGGTGGGGGAGGGGTACACACATCTGCCCGTGTTCAGGACTCACTCTTGGCCGAGCTCAGGGACCATGTGGGGTACTAAGGATTGAACCCGCGTCAGCAAAGTATGTGGCAAAGTGCTTTGCTTGCTGTACTATCTCTCTGACCCTGCATTCTGGGTATAACTTATTCATCTGTTTTTGGCTGAGGATACTATAAGTCTTTTTTTTTTTTCTTTGTTGAAAAAAGGAAAAGAACATGTTGAGGTTTTAAATTGTTTTATTTAACCTTGTATACATGCAAGATGTTTACTACTGGCACTAGCTGTGAATTTCTAGGTTGACATTTTGGTGGGACCAGAGAGATTTCTCTGTCTTAAGAACCTACCTTATATGGATACCTAGTTCTTTTGGGAAAAAGTCATTTCTTAGGAAAGATTACCAGAATGAGAAAGTGAGGATACGTTCGTTTTCTATTAAATTGCATACAAGATGTCCTTTGGGCAGATTCAGCACTGACAGTGACTTTTTAAAAATTCTGGCCATCGGAGATTTTTTTAATTAGTGATCAGTTATTAACAGCGAGGTTAATAACTGATGGTTAATAACTGAGGTTAGTATGGTAGCTGATACTCATTTTTCATTTTTCTCAAATACACACTTAATTTATAGTGTGCCAGCCCTGCTGTTTAGATTTTTCATTGTCACTAGTGTGGCTTTTCTTAAGAGGAATTATTTTATGACTAATCTCCTAACAAAGAATTCAAGAAAATTGAAAATAGGAACATTTATTATAACACCAACCACAGTACTTGGAATGAAACTAAAGTCTGATAGGTTGCGGATTCACCAGATTTGAAAACCCATATAAATTACAGAGCTCTAGAAAATAGGTGTGTGTTCAGTTTTATCAGAGCAGTTTTCTTATAAAACTCTGCATTAATCTAACATACATTCATCACTTTCAGTGCCAGAGAATATCCTGGGCAGTTGAGGTTTAAAGTTTATTCAAGAAGAATTGGACCATACCTCCAATTTAATAAGGTTTTTGATATCAGAGACAGCTGAAAGTTATCGATTTGTTATGTGACTTTCTGAACATAGTTAAGATAATACTGAGTTTGGTTGAAATCTGGCTAATCAGAAGGTGTTTGATAATCATTTGAAGTTAACTTTAAGAAGGATAATCAGTAAAGCTTAAACTTTGAATTTCAGTAGAGGTAAACTATTCCCTTCCCATTCTCTCAAAATTTCCTCTAACCTAGTGTGGTCCCCCACCCCCAGTTTTGAGTATATTTCTCTGTATTTTTCTTAATAATAATGACTTAAAACTAAAATTGGTCTTTTAGTTACATTTTATGAAATTGGAATGCTTTGAAGTTTTCCTTTCACTGTATTTACTCAGACCTGAAAAACAGCCTACTTCAGGAAAGCATTAAAGAAAGCTTTGCGATGGCTGGAAAAACAAAGAACTGTTTAGAGCAGGCCTGGCTCAGAAGCTTAGTATCATAGGAAAGCTAATTGTTACTTTTATCCTCTGGAAAGCCCTTGAACCTTTCTAATCTTCCTAGTTAAGATCATTGTCTTTTTGGCAGCTGTATAGAGCAATGTTTTGAAAGTCAAATTTGGAGGATGCTGAAGATGTGTAGACATAGAACCACCCACTAGGAAATTTCAGGAGTGTGCCAGGAATGGTGCCCTTCCCAGGCTGAGATACTCATCTGGTCCCTGGGGATGGACAGCTATAAGTTACTTAATAATTTTAACATCTTTCGAATGGAAATTTGGGTCAGTCATTAAAGGTAGAGCAAATATATAATGCAAATATATAATAGCAATAGGTAGGAAGAATGAAGGAGGAAAGCAGAGTGCCGTTTCTCTATCACAATTGTTAAGAAAATGTGGTTTGTTTGTTTTTCACAGAGGGGGAAGAAGAAATTTTCTTTTGTTAGCTTAACCTTCATTGATCCAAGGTCTGTCTGGTTCTTAAGTGCTGAACCACTCGTTTCTTTTACGGCCAGTTTTTGCTGCTAAATGTAAGGCAAATGGTAATTAATCCCCGTGCTTGAGGACACCGTAAATATTTTATTTCTTCCTTTCTTGGGAATGTTTATCAGTGGAAATAATTAAACTGGCCTTCCTGTTACCTGAGTTAGTCCTTGCATGTTAATCACTTAGAAAGTTGTGTCCTTGGCTCTTTGTTATTTTTTAGAGCAGAAAGGTAAATAGCTTTGTTAAATTTTCATGGACATTAAACTCCCTCCTTTCCTTAAAAATGTTTAACCTACTGGGCCCGAGTGATGGCTCAGTGGGTAGTGCGTTTGTTTCCCTTGCACACAGCAGAAGTGGCTTTTTTTCCCCCAGCACCCCATATCGCCCTCTGAGCACTGCCAGGAATAATCCCTGAAAACCGCTGAGTGTGGCCCAACACACACACACACACACACTGTGTTCAGCTGGCTTGAGTCAGCATGAATTTATTACCACATCACTTTCCAAAAAATTTCTTCATATTCCAGAAAATAATAAGGTAGTATCTTCATTTGTCAAAGCAGGCAGTTAAATTTTTTGTTGTTTTTTTTAGTAGTTTGCTAAATGGTGACTTAGAGATTTAGCTCAAGATTATTACAAACCTGGGCTGGAGTCAAGGGTCAGCTCAGGGGTTAAGGCACTTGCTTTCATGCAACCGCCCCATTTCGATCCCCAGCACCACATGGTCCCTTGAACTATCGGGAGCAACCCCTGGGCATTGCTAGGGGTGGCCCCTGCCCAGGAAAATGAGGCCACTATTAACCTGACTATGTCTGAAGCTCCAAAGATTCTTACTGCAAAAGTATAATGGATGCCCTGGAGAGAGAGGACAGCAGGTCGGGCACTTGCCTCAAATGTGGCTAACATGGGTTCGACCCCTGGCACTACATACATATGGTCCCCTGAGCTCCACCTCACTTAGACTTCATCCCTGAGTGCAGAGCCAGGAGTAAGCTCTGAGCACTGCTGACTGTGGCCCCAAACAGAAGTGTAAATGGAGCTAGATGTGGCATGAGAGGTTAAACAGGCTCACCCTGTGCAACACTGTCACGTCACTGTCCTCCCATTGTTCACCAATTTGCTCGAGCGGGCCAAGTAAATGTCTCGGTTGTGGCGCTTGTTACTGTGTTTGGCATATCGAATACGTCACGGGCGGCTTGCCAGGCTCTGCCGTGCGGGCGAGATACTCTCGGTAGCTTGCCGGGCTCTCCGAGAGGGGCGGAAGAATCGAACTCGGGTCAACCATGTCGGCTGCATGCAAGGCAAACGCCCTACCCACTGTGCTATCGCCCCAGCCCACCCTGTGCAAGACACCTTAACTTGCTTGCATTTTGTCTTGGCTCTTTTGTGCCCTTCCTACCCAGTCATTTGGAGGAGGGAGGTCGAGGGGCCACACTCAGTAGTGTTCAGGGCCTACTCCTGCCCTACTCCTGACTCAGTGCCCAGAGGTCACTTCTGGCAGGGCTGGGGGACTGAATGGGTTGGCCATGGGCAAGGCATATACCCTACCTGTGATGGAATGGGTTGGCCACAGGCAAGGCAAGCACCCTACCTGCTGTACTATTGTTCCAGCTCCCAGATTCTCTCTTTCAAGTGCTTGCCCCAGGGAAGTTTTGACTTAGCCAGTTAAGTGCTCTTAAATGACTTCCTTAATTTACTATCTAAAAGTAAACATAGCAGCAGGCAAAATAAAACACTGAGGGTCAGAGAGATAGTACAGCAGGTTAGACACTTGCATAATACCACATAGGGTCCCCAAGCCCTGTCAGGAGTGATACCTGAACAGAGTCAGGAGGAAGCCTTGAATATAGCCTGGTGTAGTTAAGTGCTCTTCCCACCCCCAGCTCTCCCTCCCCCCCCCAAAAAAATAAAAGGAAATATAAGAAAGGAAATAAAAGAATATATTTCATTTCAAAAAATTATTACCAACACAAAATCTAGAGGGCAGCAAAGCAGTACCTTGATACAACACCTGGCCCTGGGTTCTATCCCTAACACTCCACCCCTCCAACCCCCATCTAATACCACGTTTATTTTTTAAAAAATTTAAATGTAAAGAGTTTGGAAAGGCCTTTTAAACTGATCAGAATTTGATTTGATTTCTAATTTTCAGCATTTTTATGAAATAACAGATTTTAGGAAAGGGTGTTTTATTTTTATTTGCTTTCTCTGCTGCTTTTGCACTGTGAGCATTTTGCCTCATAGAAGATTTCTCTGTGATGATTTGGAGAAGCTTGAGATGGAGTTTAATTACTAGGCCAGGGCTCTCCGGGAATGAATGGCAAGATGCAGCTGTGGGCTCATCCAGCCTCTTCCTTCTCCTGCTTGCAACCAGTTCCCCATTCTGGGGAAGTTACTGTCAATTAAAACAAGTGCTATGCTGGCTGTGTAGATCTATTCTGAATTCTCACTTCACTTCCTGATTTTATTGGTGGGGGCATGGCTCACACAGGGTGTGCTCTTAGGAGCTCTTGCCGGGCTCAGCTGTCTGTCACCCCTGGTGGCTCAGGGGATCAAATCTGGGCTGCCATCTGCATGCCAGCCCATCGATCCATCTCTCTGGCTCCACTCTGTACTTTTAAACTTGGTACAGTTGCTTGTTTTTATTAATTTTTTTTTTTTTTGGTTTTTGAATCCATCACTCAATGCTAATAATAAGTGCTTTTATTTTCTCTTCAAAAAAGTTTTAACATAAATGAAATATATTCTTTGATTAGTATGAAGTACTCCTTTGTGTACAAGATCATGACGATCCAGCCATTGATGTGTGTAAGAAGCTTCTGGGAAAATATCCAAATGTTGATGCTAGGTTGTTTATAGGTAAGTAATTGAAATTCTAAGTAATTATTTTGCTTTAATAGTATCGTCAGTAATCTTGCATTAAACTCTAATGTGCTAGCTTCGCCCCATTGAAATGATTAGCATGTTTGCTTTATTCTAAAGACTTGGAAGGGTATTTTTGTCTTTTATATTCATTTTTCTTTAACTGACGTAAGAACATAAGACTTAGATAACCGAAACTAATGAATTTCTAAGAATAGAAGATGCATTTCTTTTTTTCAAAAAGTATTCTTTTTCTGAATTATTTGTAGCACTGTCCTCCTGTTGTTCATCGATTTTTCTCGAGCAGGCCCAGTAACAATCTCCATTGTAAGACTTGTTACTGTGATTGGCATATCGAATACGTCATGGGTAGTTTGCCAGGCTTTTCCGTGCGGGCGAGATATTCTCAGTAGCTTGCCGGGCTCTCCAGGAGGAGCAGAAGATGGCTAAAAAAGGACAAAACAATTTTAAAGCTTATTGCTTTATTTTTGTAATTAAAGAACTTAGTCGTCATGAAATTGCTGTTATTCATGATTGGCTTTCAGGCATACAGTGATTCAATACCAGTCTCTTTACTAGAGTTCACTTACCTCCACCAATAGGGGGGCTCCCTCCCTCCCCATAAGTGCGTTGTGATTTGCAGTATTCTTACTGATAGTACTTCACACATAACACTTCACCACCGTTCAGCACCGTTCCCTACTCCCCACTGAACATTTCTCTCTACCATGATCACTGCCCTCTCCCTGTCGTATCCTTCAGCACGCCCCCACCCCACCCCAAGTGGCATATTTCATATTGAGTTTCCTACCAGTTCTCATGTTCTGTTTCCGTTGTCTTTGCGCATTTTGTTATTCCGCTATTATGTTTCTTTATATCCCCAAATGAGAGAGGTCATTCTGTGTCCATTTCTCCTTTTCTGACTAACTTCACTCAGCATGAGACTCCCCAGATCCATCCATCCATGTAACAGAAAAGTGCTTGATTTGATCTTCTCTTATGGCCTTGTAATATTCCATTGTGTATAGGTACCAATAGTTTATCTAGTCATGTGTCCTTGGACATTTGGGTCGTCTCCAGATTTTGGCTATTATGGATAATGCTGCAGGGAACCTAGGAGTGCAGATGTCTTTTCTCCGTTTTGTTTTGGGGCCCTTGGTATGAAAAGTTTCTCACTTTAAATTATTAAATATGTGTGTACTTTTCATTTTTCTCAGTCATGTGTTTATAGAATATAAAATGTTCATTGTTCCATCAATTTCACAATGTTTCACCTCTATCTTTAAATTTTTAGGTGGCAAAAAAGTTGGCATTAATCCTAAAATTAATAATTTAATGCCTGGATATGAAGTTGCGAAGTATGATCTTATATGGATTTGTGATAGTGGAATAAGAGGTGAGGTCTTATTTTATGGGAACTGTTATTTCATGATAAAATGCTGAAAATAGTCAAAAAACATTATCGGTCCATTTCGCTAATAAGGTGGATCATTTCATTGCTGTTTCATGGTACAATAGCACAATTTTGCTTGCTATGGTTTTTATGCTAACCTAGAAAATTACATGTTTAAAAATACTTTTATTTTCAGTGGAAAATTCCAGCCATTATAAATTTAGTCATGGGCCAGAGTCATAGTACAGGGTGCTTACCTTGCATGCATATGACCCCAGTTTGATTCCTGACCCTGCATGTGGTCCCCCCAATACTCATCAGCAGTGATCTCTGAGCACAGAGCCAAGAGTAAGCCCTGTGCACTGCCAGGTATGCCCCTCCGCCCCAGAAAAAGAAAAGCCATGGGTCATTATAAAATCTACTAAGTTCTTGGTTTAGTTTTTACCTTGTTCTTATAAAATTTTGCATTTTAATTGGTGTCACTCATAGTGTACTTTCTCACAAAAAGGGACAGAAATGAATAGGTTTTTACAGAAATACATACATTTTAGAATTTATGGCTTTGTACTATAGAAAATTTCAGTATCAAGTGGAAAGTTTTAATATAGTAAAATTATAATCTGCTCTTTTAAATGTTTATGTTCTTAATAACATTGCTTGACAAACAAACACTGTCCTCCCGTTGTTCATCGATTTTGCTCGAGCAGGCCCAGTGACGTCTCCATTTTGAGACTTGTCACTGTGTTTGGCATCTCGAATACATCACGGATAGCTTGCCAGGCTTTGCCGTACGGGCAAGATACTCTCAGTAACTAGCCAGGCTCTCCGAGAGGGGCGGAGGAATCGAACCTGGCTCGACCAGGCTGGCTGCCTGCAAGGCAAACCGCTGTGCTGTCGCTCCGGCCCCTTAATAACATTAGTATCCTATAATAAGAGCAACTGTGAGGAGCATAACAAATTGTGTTAGATATAATTATTTCAATTTTTGGAGGTGATGATGATTATTATTGGAGATAATCACCTCATTCCTATTGCTATTTGGCATTGGGTGCTTTTTTGTTGGGGAGACCTATCAGGTGACCTCTGCCTACTTAATATAGCACCCCTCTCCACTTATAACTCCAAAATGTGTCCATTGCCCCTTTGAGGCAGCATTTGGGGACCACTCTCCTAGAATGATAGGTGTGGTATTTCAGGTAAAAAAAAATCCACATTAATTTATACAATAGATTAAAATTCTTAAAGACTTGAAGGAACTCAAAATGCAGTATTACGTGAGATGATATGAGATGTTTGCTGTTGGATATGTACAGTGTTTTTTTTTTTTTTTCAATTACTCCGAAGTTAAAATTTAAAAATTAGTGGAGGCTTAGCATTTTTTAGTAATCAGCATTGGTACACTTCAGTGAACCCGTGATCAGAGACTGTGTTCGTTCCTCACATTTGTTCGTTAGATTATTTGCTGTTGTTTATCGGTTACTTTTTCAGCATGCAGATCGGTCAAGTATAATCTCCTTTGAATCCTCTTGACAGCTGTTTAAGATCGGTTATCTCATACCCTCTGAGAAAATGGTGGCTCATTTCCTATGGCTAGGAAATGGGGAGCCATTATAAAAACTGAGGTGCACTGACCTCTGCTCCTGTATCTTGTACCTTTTCCCAGTAGGACACAGAGTTCGTGATTCCACTTTAGAGGCTCTGACATGGGGGTGGCGGGTGCAATTTCAAAATATGTCCTGCTACTGGTACATAGGTATAGAGGAGCCTGGAGACATGTGGAGGAGACATTGCTTCTTGTAAATTCAGCTTTTTTTAAATTTTGTATTCCACTCAGAAAGGGTGATGAGATGTATGTTATTAGATACAAGTGGTTTAAAAAATTGCTTTTAGTAGTTCGTAACTCCCAAGATAACATTTTGCATTAGTGGGTGTCTTACTAAAATAATTCTTTTCTCCCTTCTTGTTTACCTTCCCCTCCCTCCCCCCTTTTTTTATTATAGTAATTCCAGACACTCTCACTGACATGGTTAACCAGATGACAGAAAAAGTAGGGTTGGTACATGGGCTGCCTTATGTGGCTGACAGACAGGGCTTTGCTGCCACGTTAGAACAGGTAAGTGTGATCTTCCTAAATATAAATGTTCCTAAATATTTCCAGCTTCCTACCTACCTTTTTAGAAATTTGACATGATCTTGAGATTTGGGATGAGCTACCTGAACACTAAATCCATTTGAATCTGCCAGGTCTTAGAGCCCAAAGTTGAGAGTAATTTTTCTTTCTTGGGTGCCATGCCTACAGTCCTCAGGAGCTATTCCTGGTTCTGTGTTCAGAAGGGACCTCTAGAAGTGCTCGGAGGGTTGAACTGGGGTTTCTGCAAGCAGGGCAAAGCACCTTGCCTCCTCTCCAGGCCGAGTATTTTCTTTTGTGAGCGCATTTCTGGGTCCCTCACCACTGAACGAGCTACGCATTAACAGAAAACAAATGCACAGGAAGCATCTGGAAACTTGATTACCAGCTCAACACAGTAGACCCTCTGTAAGAGCATTTGCTGCCACTTCCAATTTTCTCTTTGAGACTAAGGGGTCTTAAACCATCGTTCTTATTTGAATCACTTGGGGAGCTTTTAAAGCCCCTAGTGACTTTCTAATATTCCTCATAACATGATTGAGGGTGAGACCACAGTCATGTCAGTGATATTGGAGCCTTTCTGAGGGTGGGATCCAGGCCTTAATATTTTTAATTCTGTTCAGATGACTCCACTGTGAAGTCAACATTGAGATTCACTGCTCTAGACTTACCCACTTGTGACCCCTTTTACCCAAGAAATATTTACCTAACTCCCTGGTAGGTAGGGGTTTAAATTAGGCATATACATCAAGCATTCACTGATAATGAACCACAAAAAATTTTATTTAGGACTGGAGAGATAGTGCAGTGAGTAGGGTGCTTGCCTTGCGTGTGACCTACCTTGGTTCTATCCCCAGTACCCAACTATGAGTGATTCTTGAGCCAATAACCAGAGAAAGCTCTGAGTACTCTTAGCACAGTGGTAGGGCGTTCGCCATACAAGCGGCCAACATGGCCAACCCGAGTTCAATTCCTCCGCCCCTCTCGGAGAGCCCAGCAAGCTACCGAGAGGATCTCGCCCACACGGCAGGGCCTGGCAAGCTCCCCGTGACGTATTCGATATGCCAGGCACAGTAAGAACAAGTCTCATGATGGAGACATTACTGGGCCCGCTCGAGTAAATCGAAGAACAACGGGAGGACCGTGATTATTGTGATACTCTAGATATGGTGGCACAAAGCATATCCCCAGATTTTTTCATTTTTAAATGTTAAGGGTTTTTTTGGGGGGGGTGACACCCCCCTGTTTCACCATTTAGCACTGTCCTGACCTGTAGTCTAAATAAGCTAAACCAGAGTTTGTTGACCTTTTCTGACCATGACCCTCTTCTTACTTTAGTTTCTTTCTACACCCACCCCCACCCTGTCCTACTCATTGGTCCCTTAGTCTAGTGCTGTGGCCCCCTTGGAACATCTTAGAGGGATTATAAAAGCTCACGTTAGATAGTTTTTTCAAAGAACCAATCTTAAAAGAATGGTTTTTAAAATGTCAAGAGTATTTCACGTATATAAACAATGAAAGTTGTTTATAGTAAATGTAAAATCAATTTAAGATATTGCTAAATAACTGCAAATTTTTTTATTTTTCACTCTTTTCTTTAACCTATAACTGAGATACAGACCTGTGTATAGGAAATTATAAATTATTTCTAAAGAAAAATCCATGGAACATATAACTAGGTTTTAAAAATTACAAGTTTTTGTTTATTTTTGTTAGTATCTTTCCACTTTGATAGTAGTAGTATTCTAAAAACAACTTGCACCTTTTTTGCCCTCAGTCCTTAAGCTTTCCTCTCTATCATTAGTAATTTCGTTTAATAGTAATTTTGGAGGTTAGCATTCCCCCAAATGGTGCTCAGAAGGCCAGAACCTATTATGCGGACTCTTTAGTTCAGTGTTCAGGTCTGGTGATACTTATAATTCTCAGGCTTGGAGCCACAGTGGCTGCCTGGTGGTGTGCCCCAAGATATGTGATGCTGTTCTGGGGATTGAACTTGGGGTCTTGTGAATGCCAGGCTAACATACCTGCCCATTGAATCCATTGAGGTATTTCTTGGTCCCCCAAAGTAATTTTTATTTATTATATTATAGTCTCATCATCTATATGTTTTGTACTTGATTTGACTATCCTTATACTGTTTAGCATTTAGAATGAAGGACTTAATGTTATAAGAGACAGATTATCATTTCAGTCTTTGAATATGGCAGATTACTTCCAGGTTATCTGCATTAATGCTTCTTGGAATTAATAATCTTTTGACCGCCACATAGTAAGTACAGGTACATTACTAAAACTTGAATTTTGACCTTTGGCAGTATAAAGCATAAGCACTTCTTCCAATGCCTCCAGTATACTTGTCCTACAGTACGAAATCAGAAGTCTTAAATAGGATTTTATTTAGAAATTCTAAATAAATTAGAATTTATTCTAATAATTGTAGGTTTTATTCTAAATTTGTTGTAATAAATTGTATTATTTTTTTTTAATTTTAATAAAATTTATTCTAATAAATAGCCAGAGTGGTAATACAGTTGGTAGGGCTCTTGCCTTGCATGTGACTGATCCAGATTCTATCCCTGGCATTCCAAATGGTTCCTTGAGCACTGTCAGGAATGATTCTTGGAAGCAAAGCCAGGAGTAACCCCTGAACATTGCCACATGTGGCTCCAAATAAAAAAATAAATAAAAGAAATTATAGTAGGTGCTGAAAAAAAAAAAACCAAAAAAGTTCTTGCATGACACCTTGTTTTTTTTTTTTATACAAATATCCAAGCAATGTATGTGCCATTGATAAACATCTCCCAGATACTTAGGTTTAATTTCTAAGGGACATTCTGCCATACTTTGAGTGGATGGAAAGAATTATTCCAGTCTGTCAAGTAACTTCTCCTCATGGTCCCTCATTGTGTTTCCTTCCTGAGATGTCACCTCATCGATAATTGCTTAAAAAATTAGGATATATGCTTCTAGGGGCTGGAGCAATAGCATAGCGGGTAGGGTATTTGCCTTGCACGCGGCTGACCCGGGTTCGATTCCCAGCACCCCATATGTCCCCCGAGCACTGCCGGGAGTAATTCCTGAGTGCATAAGCCGGGAGTAATCCCTGTGCATTGTTGGGTGTGACCCAAAAAGCAAAAAAAAAAAAAAAAAAGATATATGTTTCTAGTCTTAGAAGTTTTAAGTTTAAGTTTTCTTAAAGTTTTAAGTTTTCTTTGCTTTTTTGACATAGGTTAATATGGAAGTAGGCCATCAGAATCATATTCTTGTCCCATATTCCAAATCTCTCTTATTCCAAGTCTCTGGGTGTAACTCTGCCATTGAGAAAGATCACTGTTCTTTATTCAGAGCTAATTAGAAAGTTCAGCATATCTCAGATGCAAGTAATGCATGGTTTCATGTGCAGTAACTGCAGTGATGCCCAACGATTGGACCAGGAATTTGGCAGCTTCTATAGTTCATGGTTTCAAAAGCATACCTAGGGAAAGGACATGAAAATAGGGGCATTTTAGTACTCATCTTGCTTGTGGAAAGTAAAATGGGAGAAATTGGGAAGAAACTGACCCACACAGGGGCAGGCAACACATAGCTGTGGAACAGTTACAGAAGGATTCTCCTGTAGATTGGTCTACCCATGGGAGGTTTGTGTGTGGGTGTATCATGCGGTCTACCCTTCATTCACTTCCTTGAATATTCTGTAAGTAGGAAACTTTGCTGGGACTGGGAATCAAGCACAGTTATAGAAACCCAATGCATGGCCCTGTGTTCAGTCCCCAGCATTACCGGGTATAGCACCAGTGGCCCCAGAGCACTCCTGGGTGTGACCCCTATAAAAAGTATTGTTAATGTTTTATTAACTGATGTCATACCTGTCTTACTTTCTATTCAGATTAAATTCTACTTGGATTAATCTTGTCATCCATCCTGCAGATTTAGAAATGGCAATGTTTGTTTCAGAACAAGATACTCTTGTCTTTCCTATAAACAATTTTTTTGTTTTGTTTTGGGGCATATATTTGTAAAAGAGATAATAACAAGAGTGGGCAACCAAGTAAGATATTACTGCCTGATATATATATATATTTTTTGGCTTTTTGGGTCACACCTGGCATTGCACAGGGGTTACTCCTCGCTCATGCACTCAGGAATGACTCCTGGCAGTGCTCAAGGGACCATATGGGATGCTGGGAATCAAACCCGGGTTGGCCGTGTGCAAGGCAAATGCCCTACCTGCTGTGCTATTGCTCCAGTCCCAATTTTGCACCACTTTTTATACAGATAGTTTCTCTAAGAATCATATGCATAAATTCACATGTAATTATGTATTCTATATTTATATATACATTCAAGTATGTTTTAAGGAAATTCATTACAAGAAAAAGTCACATACACCATACATTTGATAATCAAATTGTAATTGCCCACTTGATGTTTTTGTTTTGACAGGTGTACTTTGGAACTTCCCATCCAAGGTCCTACATCTCTGCCAATGTAACGGGTTTCAAGTGTGTGACAGGAATGTCTTGTTTAATGAGAAAGGACGTATTAGATCAGGCAGGAGGGCTGATCGCGTTTGCTCAGTACATCGCTGAAGATTACTTTATGGCTAAAGCAATAGCTGATCGGTAAGAAAACGAGATTAAATTAAGTTCTGCTTTTCCACCCTGAGCTCCCCTGTGCTCTTCCCATTGTAGTTGCCGCAGTGACTTGGGGACCTGCACACACCTGGCCTTATACTCACAAGCATTCTCCTTTTTCAATTGTGATCCTCACACACGTGGTTTGCAGTGCGCCAGTGGGTCCCTTGGCTGAGTGCTGGGCATGGCAAACACCAGTGCTTCTCGGGTCACACTTGGCATGGGGGCTGTTCTGGGTGAGTGGGGACTGGTGAACTCGCGGCCTCATGCCAGTAAGATAGGGATTCTACCTTTGAGCTCTTCCCAGCACCCCCTAGGCTGTAGAATCTTCAGCGTTTAGCTTCACTTGATCTACTCTGTTCGTTAAACTCTTGGATCAAAGTCGGTTTTATTTTCGGCTAGTGAGTACAAATGTGTTTTTTTTTTTTGACAGTAATTCTAGTATTTTCATTGATGTATCCTAATGAAGCAAATAAGCGTTCCAATGGCTCCACAGTCTTCAAAGTAATGCCTTTGAAGTGATTGAAAGGCAATTGCCCTGTGATTGAGTTTTTGTTATGATGGATTTAAATTTTTGTGCGTTTTAGAGTAATTTTTTAAAAATCATTGTTACAGGGGGCTGGGGAGATGGTGTGAGTGATCTAGCACATGACTAGCAGACACATGGTCCTGAATTTCAGTGCCAATACCACATGTCCCCAGCCCTCTAAGCACTGAACCGTGAAGTCTGTACCGGCAGGCCGAGTGTCCCCACCAGGAGAAGACAACAGCATCAAAGGATGTGGCCTCTTTAAAAAAAATAATAAAAACAAAACCCATGCATAAGCCAAGAGGAGAGATCTTAAGGAATATAATTTCAAATTTGAAATTTCAGTACTCTGCTAGGAAACCACCTAATGATTCCCACAATTGATTCAACATTTCTCTATCCCAAAATGATAACGTGTTTGGGGGCTGGAGCAATAGCACAGTGGGTAGGGCGTTTGCTGCCTTGCACGCGGCCAACCCAGGTTCGATTCCCAGCATCCCATATGGTCCCCTGAGCACCGCCGGGGGTAATTCCTGAGTGCAGAGCCAGGAAAGTAACCCCTTTGCATTGCCAGGTGTGACCTAAAAAGCAAAAAAAAAAAAATGATAACAATGTTTGCTTAGAAAGGGGGTCATTGCTTATGTGATCATTTGCTAAAGATAGGATTTTAAAAGTTTAAGTGTGCTTTTAAAAGTCTCTAATAGGGCGTTCATGTTGTTCATGGCATCGCTCTGTCTCCCAAAAGCCAAGTGCATAATGTCACTTTTTCTCATTTTGTGTTTCTTGGACTTCTTGGTGTCTTCATAACCCTTCCTTTTATTTTTTTTTAATCAGTAGTGATCAGAGACAATTATTCAGCAAAGCCCTCTCTGCATTTGGTTATCTTCAGAATGCCTATATGTTTTGAGTTCGTTAAACTATAGTGCTACAGTTCTTCCAGCTGTTAGATGATACTGTTGTAGGTCTGTATAATTGCTGAAACATCCTTAAGTATGATATGTTCCCTAAGCAGATGCTAATCCTGAGAACAAGGCTCGCCCAGAACATGAGCAGTTGGTAACTCTTTATAGTGATGAGTAAATGCATAACCAGTCAGGCTTGTATGTGTTCATAGTCCAGAGCTCATTTTATAATTATCTTTCTTTTCAGAGGTTGGAGGTTTGCAATGTCCACTCAAGTTGCCATGCAAAACTCTGGCTCCTATTCAATTTCTCAGTTTCAGTCCAGAATGATCAGGTAAATCAGCTGACTTTTTTCTTTTTTATATTCTTTTATAAGAGAGGTAGGATTCATTTTTATGTAATCTAACATTTAAAATAAAAGCTAAGGATAGATTTTTTTTTAGTTCCACAAAATAGTTTAACTTCTAACTTTAAATGTGTATATTTTCTTATATTACACTCTTGTGTGTTACACTGAAACCATTCATACAGAGATGCTGAAACTTAGATTATTCTTTTATATGCCAGTCTATTTTCTAACATTCTATCTGCTCTTTGGATTTCGTAATCTTTATTCATCAAGAATGTCCTTCATTCAAATAAATTTGTAAAGTTTCATTAAAGATTGATATAGAGGAGTGTCTGTGTAATAGTGTGGAGACCTGTGATGTTTTGAAGAAAAGAATCATCAGTCTTGAAACCGGGCTATGAAAAGTAAACCTTTAATTTTTTTTTTTTTAAGGTGGACCAAATTGCGAATAAACATGCTTCCTGCTACAATCATTTGTGAGCCAATTTCAGAATGCTTTGTTGCCAGCCTAATAATTGGTTGGGCGGCCCACCATGTATTCAGATGGGATATTATGGTATTTTTCATGTGTCATTGCCTGGCATGGTTTATATTTGACTACATTCAACTCAGGGGTGTCCAGGTATGTGGATAGGCATGAAAAGGCTTGGTAGTCACTTGGAACTACAACTATTTTAATTTATGAAAGGTCGATCTAAACTGTTGTTCAGCTTCCCACAAAAGGTTGCTTATGTGGTTTAAACATTGCTTTCCCTAACGGTGCATAAACATACAAGTTGAAGTAAAAAATATTTTATTATTATTACAGTTTAGATTATAATATTAACAGTAGTAGTAGTAGCGACAGTAGTATTAACATGCTTTTAATGGGTGTGGTTACTACAGCTCACCAACCACCAAAGTGCCCAATGCCTCTGCCACTGCCCTTATATTCTTCACTTCTTCATTCCTCCCACCACCTCTGCCCACCACTTGGTAATCTGATAACTTTTCTTTTTCCATTTAGACACCATGATTTACATGGTTATTTACATTGGGGTTTTCAGGCACGCAGTCTTCTCACCTTCACTCCCCCACCCCCAAATCTAACTCTTTGACAGTTGCATGTAATTGCTATAATTTGGGGCCCCCAGTCTACAGTAGTGTTGGATCCAGTGGTGTAGATATGTTCAGATACTTTGACCCTACACCAGAGAGGGATCCAAGGCCCTTGTTCCTGGCCCTCGGTAGCTTCCAGATCTCTTCTTCCTTCCCAGCTCTATTTCTCTCTTGCCTTGCCATTTTCATGCCCGTAATCTAGAACCAGTGTTTTGCCCACCTCTGCTACCTGCCATTCCCTCGGCAGGTTATTCTGTATGCCAGAGATTAGTGAGAATAACTTAGTGTGGCCCTGCCCTTTAACTTAACATAAAGATCATCCTCCAGTTCAACCCACGTTGCTGCACATTGACATGATTTTATTAATAACTTGATGTTTAACGTTCAGAGGTTTTATAGCTAGGACATGGCCGGTGGTAGGCCACTGTCTGCACCCCACCAACTCCGAAATATCTCAAGAAGACAAAGTGGTTATATTGTCACTTTTATTAAGCTTTTGGATACTGTTAAGCTATCACAAATAGTGTGCTAAGGTAGCAGGATTTTATAAGCAGTAGGTTTTCATTTTTTTGGAGGGGTTGATTGGGCCACACTGCTGTGCTCAGGAATCACTTCTGGCAGGGCTTGGGCACCGTAATAGGGTGCCAGGGATCGAACCCAGGTCAGCGGCTTGCAAGGCAAGTGCCTACCCCACTGTACCTGCTATACTCTCTCTTCGACCCTAGCTGTAATTCTAATGCTGCTGCTTCTTGTAATTAACATTTCCTTCATCAATACCGCGTGGAAATTGAATTATATAAAGAAGCAGACTTGACTTTCGATACTGCTGAAAAGATTAAAATGGAAGAAATGATTGTTAAGCGTATCTTAGTCTTGCGGCTGGCCAGTCAGATGTCCTTTCTCTTTTTTCGCTTTTAGGGTGGCACGCTGTGTTTTTCAAAACTTGATTATGCAGTAGCTTGGTTCATCCGGGAATCCATGACAATATATATTTTCTTGTCGGCATTATGGGACCCTACGATTAGCTGGAGAACTGGTCGCTACAGGTTACGCTGTGGAGGCACAGCCGAGGAAATCCTCGACGTATAACGACAGCTTTGTGACTGTACATAGAGGAAGAAAAGAGAAGTATTATAAATTATGTTTATAGAAATGCTTTTAAAAGATCTACCTTCAGTAGTTTTATCATATGTATGTTTTTGGTATCTTGTTCTTTAATTTATTTTGCATGGCACTTGCGTCTGTGGAAAAACAAAACAAAACACATCGGTAGTCTTGGCCAAAAGGTACACTTTAATTTTGTGGAAGTAGAGAATCAAGAGACTTGGTTCTAGGAACCTGGGTTTGGGTTTTGTTTATTTTTTAAAATTCAATACAGGTAGTATATATATATAAATGCTCTGCAACAAGCCCTCTGACAGTATCCTTCAGTCGAGAAAGTTTCTTACTTGTTGATGATACAACATTTAAGGGATGATGGCAGCTTGGTTCAAAGGTTCGGAAATAGCTAGAAGGTAATCACTTAGTGCATCTAAATGGAACTGAACAGCTGCATTCGAGGTACTAACTGAGAAACTTTTTCATGCTTTATGCCTACCTCTTGTAGTTGTTGCAGAGCAAATAAAAACTGTAATAAGGTAGCTAGGCCTTGCAAAAACAAATGGAAAAAACTTTAATAAAAAGAGCTGGAGTCTAGTATTTATATGAATCTGTGAGGAGATGTTTTTGGTCTCACTGCAATGAACCAAAAGTGGCTGAGTTTGGTTTTCAATTGTAGCCACGTACTGAAGGCATCTTTGTGACCAACTCTTGTTGGTTCTGTCTTGAACCATTGTTAATCAATCACTGTGCTGGTAAACCTTTCCTTCCCTGCTCTCTTCTCTCCTGACCCACCCCATCTTCCCTTATCTTTTTGGGGGTGGGGGGTGGTTTTATTTCTGCGTGAGTGAATGTTTTGATAGTTGTGAGGGAAAAAAATGCATTTCAGACACATTTCACACATTGAGCTATTTTCTTACACAGTATGTCTTCTTGTTAAAAAAAAAGAATGTACTTTCATGATACAGGTATTTAATATCTTTTTAAAGTAAATATTCTAGCCATCAATAAATAAATTGCAGTTAGAATATTAAGCGGGGGGGGGGGCGGGGGGAGGACAGGATAAGTTTGACCCTTAAACTGAATCAGTATCGAACTAAGTCATCAAACTAAGTCTACTGTGTGTGTGTGTGTGTGTGTGTGCGCTTTTGTTTTTACTATTACAGTTAGTCTAGCCCTATTTAAATTGGATTTTTGTATTCCACTTTGTATGACAATAGACTGCAGTGCTAGTCGTAAGTGCATGCTGAATTTCACTCTCTCCTACCCCTCATGCGCCAAACTTGCTTGTCAGGTTGTGCTTAACTTGTGGTGAACTGGACTGTTTTTGTTTTTGTTTGTTTGTTTGTTTGTTTTAATAGGCAAACATGTAAGAGACAGTGCATAAGCCACTTCTCCCCGCCCCTTTTATTTTATTTTTCTGGTTCTTCCTTTTTCTTGTAGTGGAGTTTTTGCTTTCCTCCAGGGTTGGATGGCATGTTGTCCATATGAATGCCTGCTACAAGGCTGACCTGGCAATATGGCAGCTTTAAATTCCAGGTGATGCCAGTTTTTACGTCAAAGCATAATGAATAGCATATTAGCAATAACAGATCTATAGAAAATGAACACGTTTTCACTTCACTGAGCCAATTCACTTCATTGTTAGATGACTTCTCTACATGGTTTAAATGGCAGTATATCCAAGAATATTTATATACTTTGTATATGCATATTTTGAGACTTTTCTCTGGGCCAAACTGCTTTGTTTTTAATTTTTTGATTCTTTTTTTTTTTTTTTGCCTGATGATAAGTTAATTTGAAGGGCATTTTCTTCGTGAACAAAGACTTTGATGCATATTCCTGTGTATGTGAAATGGGTAATATTTTCCCCAAGGAAAGTTGCACAGTGAAAACCAGTCTAGTTGTGACCCACTCTTTTATTTATTGTTAAATCACTATTACTCAGTTGAATTTTGCCGACCTTGTTTGTAATTTTGTTGGTTTGTTTAATGAAGTTTGGTTGATGCCATCCTTTGTACTGCTGAAGTGAGGCCTTCCTTCTTATTAGCGCTTTGCTGGTCTCAATGTGGGCAGTGTAACAGCAAAACCAAAATGGCAGGACAGACTTCTTGTATTTTGTAAATAGAAAATATGACTGTTCGGTACATGTGTTTTATGTGGGAGTGTGGAATATTTCCGTCAAGTGATGCCTCATTTAAGCAGTCAGAATGAACCTTTGTTTAGCAAGTTTAAGTGATAAACTAGAAATAATATACATGTTGAAGAAAGCATCACAACAGAACTGTAGGAGTCCAAATTTAATAAACTGTCTATAGAAAAAAAGGTCTAGATTATGCCATGTTTTTATTATTTAAAATCATTGTCTTAAGTTTTTGTTGAAAAAAAATAAAAGTTTGAATACAATCAAAATATGGGCAATGTGTTTTGGTGTACTTTTTATATTTTTATTATGTTCTTACTATCTCATTAATTACATACAATAATTATTAGAAGAATTCTGTCAAGCGTTAGTTTTGAAATCTTCACAATCACCTCTGCTACAGATCAGTTAATCACTTAATATTGGACTTTTTGAGGTAATTAGAGTCTCTTGGACAACTTTCTAGAAATTAAAATATATATACAGATGCAGAAATTCTGATTTATTCCATTGTTTTCTGCACGCCCTTTTGAGAAGCACTGGCCAGTAATGACGTTTAGAATAGACTCAGTGTTCCCTAGGCACCTCTCACCTGTCTTGCACCACCTTAACCCAGCCAGATAAGGAATGCAATGGTTTTGCTCTCAGAGATATAAATGGGAGCCAGACTTAACTGCAGCCCGCACAAAGTCCAAGGCCGGACTCCTCCCCATCTCCTCTGACACATGTTTTATTGCCGGTCTATAAAAGCAGAATGCTCTTGTTTGGGGATGAGGTTCAGGAGAGGAAGAATCTTAAGAATCTAAGGTTCAGGAGAGGAAGAGGGGTGCTCTGGTGAGAGCCCACTAGAGGTTCCACTCCTGACACCTTCACCCCCAAAGAAGCTCTTTCCTCCTACTTTATGAAATATAGTCCCAGTGTTTTAAGAAATGATTAAACGAATGGTGAATTTTGTGTTGTTAATTCTTATAGCTAGGCAAACTTTGAAGAGCCCTTGCTTTTTGGGCCACACCCAGCGATGCTCAGGGGTTACTCCTGGCTCCGCACTCAGGAATTAGTCCTGGTGGTGCTCGGGGGACCATATGAGATGCCAGGGATTGAAGCCCGTGGGCAGTATGCAAGGCAAACACCCTACCCGCTGTACTATTGCTCCGGCCCAAGAGCCGTTTTTAGAGTGCATGCGTGCTCACACACACACACACACACACACACACACACACACACAGATACACAGTGTCAACACTGGTTACACCCAGGTGGCTGGCAGAGCAGGAAGCGGCCCCACAGTATAAGTCAATTCCAGCATTGTATGCCATTGTATTCATCTCTCCTCTACATCTTGTTTATAGTTTTTTTTTTATTAAATCACCGTGAGATACAGTACAAAGCTTTCATGTTTGAGTTTGTCACGCAATGATCAAACACCCATCCTTACACCAGTGCACATTCTCTACCACCAATGTCCCCAGCTTACACCCTCCTCCCCCTTCCCAACGTTCCCCCTATGGTTCTTTCTATGATAGTTTTAAACCTTGCTTTTTATTGTCTTCATTGAAAATCACAAGAAATCTAGGGGGAAGAAATCCTAGGAATTAAAGTAAGTTGAACAAGGTATTAGGGTCCCAGATAACCTTTACAACACCATTGCATTTGTATTCACTGGGAATTGTATAAACGTCAACTTAAAATATATTAGTATTTACAATTGCCAACAAGAACAGAAAAGAAATATGGAGCTTGGATGCTGGATATTACAAAATGCAAATGAAAAAGATACTTGCATTGGCTAAGTCTGGTTTTATCCTTGGCACCACATGGTCCAAGTACTGCCTGATACAGCCCTGGATTCCCCTGCCCAGGTGCTCCCTGGCACTCAAGTACCCCCCAACTACCCAACAAGTTTCCATGAATTGCTGGAAGGGCCCATAAGCCTCCTGACCTTGTTTATTATTTTGCCATTTGAGAGACCTGGGACTACATTTTCCCCACCCCAAAATAAATGGCATGCATAACCAAAGGTTCATAGGGCTCAGATCAACAACATCAAACATTGTTGATCTGACCCTTAGTCCTCAGAGAATCTCAAACAGTTCCTTAGGGGCTGGAGCAATAGCACAGCAGGTAGGGCGTTTGCCTTGCACGCGGCCTACCCGGGTTTGATTCCCAGCATCCCATATGGTCCCCTGAGCACTGCCAGGGGTAATTCCTGAGTGCAGAGCCAGGAGTAACCCCTGTGCATCGCTGGGTGTGACCCAAAAAGCCAAAAACAAAAAAAGTTCCTTAAGCAACAATTGTTTTAAGAATTAAAAATGTGTCGAACTGTTGCATGACTCCTCCCTAATCCAGGGAGACAGGCAGAGGCTGCTGTTGTCTGTGGAGTGGTTTCCTGTGGTTGTGCTGTTTAGGCGATTACTCATCTAGACATCTGTGCTCTTAGCATGAACTTGTAATTATCTAAACTATCTAAATTATCATTTCTTTCTACCCAGGACTAGAAGTATCCGTATTGGCCAACTTGCCTTGGCCTCTTCTGACTCTTTCATACCTCCACTTGTCATCTTGTTTTGACTTGGTTATCCTGCCCTTGTCATCAATCCTGGGATTTCCATCACCTCATGACTGACTAACACAATGAGTGTTGACAAGATGTGGGAGAAATCAGAGTTCACTGGGGTACAGCTCTGGAACTTGGGTGAAGGTTCAGAAGTGGAGGCATGAGAATAATTTCCATAGTTGATGGCAGTGAATGTGTCACTCAGGGCAGTGTCGCTAGATAGTTGAGAGCTAAGGACCGAAGCATGGGGGTGAGAGGTAACTTTGGGAAAAAAAAAACAACAACAAGAAAAAGGGCTGCCAGACTTGAGGCCAGACCAAGCCTCTCAGGGGATTGGGGAATTTGGACACACCTTGCTCTATCTACCCAAGCCACTGACTGCTAATAATTGAGACTTAAAACACTTGCTGAGGTGTAGACATGAGGAAATGAAGTCATGTATATGGGGCATAGGGAAGGTTAGCTTCCCCTTTATAGAAAAAAGCAAGGAGGACAGGAAGGATAAAACAGTGGGGAAAGTGCGTGCCTTGCACACTGCTGACCCAGGTTCAATCCCTGGCATTACATATGGTCCCCTGAGCACTGCCAGGAGTAATTCATGAGAAAGAATCAGGAGTAAGCCCTGAGCATCATTGGGTGTGGCCCCAAAACAAAAGGAAGTAGTAAAAGCGTCATAGGAGCCTTGAAAAGGGCTTTCCAAAAAATGGGCTAGAGGTTGATGGACAGTCAGAAGTGTGTCTACAGTGCTTGCTCTTGGTCCATTATGAATTGACTCCAATTAATGAAAGGTGCGGTCATCTGACCATATAGCTTCATTCTGAATTGATAGCTTATTTTCTTGGGTGAAAGAGAAAGGGCTGGCACACTCATGTAGAGCTAGAAATTGCTCTTGAATCCAGAGAGTATCTGGTTGTGCCAGGCAAATGTTAAAAGATGGTAGCTGTTGTGAAGTCAGTTTGGTAATGTGGGAGGCACAGAGATCAAATTATTTGAGCTAGATTGGGATGGGGGGAAGGGGAGTGGAAGGGATACGGGGACTGGTGGTGGTGGAGAATGGGCACTGGTGGAGGGATGGGTATTCGATCATTGTATAACTGAAACCCAAGCACAAAAATTTGTAAGTCTACAGCTGTACCTCATGGTGTTTCACTAATAAAAATTTAAGGAAAAAAATATTATTTGAGCTGGAGAAGAATAGGAAGATGGATTAAAGCAATGATACAGGCATTTTTAATTAATGAAGAAACAACACACCGTTTCCCACCCAAGGGCCAAAGTAAACCTAAACCGAAAAGAATTGTGACTGGAGTTCTTTCAGCATTCAAGAGGATGGCAGGTAGTTAATTGCCCATCTGAGCTTCCTGTCCTGTGATGGGATCTTCCACCAACTTCCCTATGCTGCAGACAGCATCCAATGAGTCTGAGGCTTCCTGGCCTTACCTCCATCCTGTATCTTTCAGTTTGGGTCTTAATTGCTTCTATATGCCAATTTTTCTGAATTTTCTCTGTACTCAGAGTAAAATGGCTTAGTGTCTAACCTCTGCCATCTGGCATTTTTCTTACCCACATTTGTCAACATTATTCAAAGCCTGCAAAAGGTTGTCCTTTCCTTTCCCTTAACACCTGTCACCACCAGAGCCTACCCTCAACCTTTTCGCCTCACTCCTACTGTTCTCCAAATGGAGCCAGAGCTTCTCTGTTTCCATCCCAGCTCCTGGATCCGAAGTAGCCCTGTGAATTCTCTGCCTTTCGATCCCCCCAGACTCATATTCAAGCATTTGCAGAAGGCCCAATACTTACCTTCCTGTCGCTCTCTGTCAGTCATTTTGTGTCTCCAAAAGTGTCTACCTCTTTAAGAAACTGGACTCAACCTGCCTCAGTTGTGATTTTATACCCTTTCTCTCCCTTTCCCCTACCTGCCCTCCAGTGCCTCCATACAATAGTTAAGTGTTCATTACTTTTTTTTAATATTTTTAAATTTTATTTATTTATTTATGCTTTTTGGGTCACACCAGGCTTTGCACAGGGGTTACTCCTGGCTCATGCACACAGGAATTACTCCTGGCGGTGCTCGCAGGACCATATGGGATGCTGGGAATCGAACCCGGGTTGGCCGCGTGCAAGGCAAACGCCCTACCTGCTGTGCTATCGCTCCAGCCCCATGCGTTCATTACTTTTAGTGAAGAAACTCATAAATCTGGTTTCAAATATTTAGCATGCTTTAACTGCTCATTGTGTTGGCAATGTATTTGTTCCATTTTCTTTCTCTGCTTAATAAAGGGACTTATCTATACTGGAGTGCTTAGTTTTTGTTTGGCTCAAACAATCTTTAAGTTCTTATTTGTATGTGTGATTTTTGGTTTTGATATACTTTTTTTTAATGTTTAAATTTGTTTTTATTTTTTTCTTATATTTATTTATTGAATCACTGTGGGAAAAGTTACAGAGCTTTCAGGTTTAAGTCTCAGTCATACAATGATCAGACACCTCTCCCTTCACCAGTACTCATTTTTCACCACCAAGAACCCCAATATACCCCCCTCCCACCCCTCCCAATGCCTGTGAGGCAGATAATTTCCACTTCACTCTTCTCTACATTGATTGCATTCATTATTTCGACAAAAGATGCACCATTATTGTTTAGAATTCCCCCCCTCCCCCCAACAATCAGAATTGCTGAAAAGGCATTGTGAAATACTTTGTTTTCTATAGCTGGTTA